GGGTTTAGGGTTTTAGGGTTTAGGGCTTAGGGTTTAGGGTTTAGGGTTTAGGGCTTAGGGTTTAGGGTGTAGGGCTTAGGGTTTGGGGTGTAGGGTTTAGGGTTTAGGGCTTAGGGTGTAGGCTTTAGAGGTCTCCTTCGCATGATATGCTCCTTCACGAAACGGGGGTGGTTGAGATTTTGGGCTTTAGGGTTTGTGCATGAAGCCTTTCGGGTTCCGGGCACTAGCTTCTTTAGGGTTTAGGGTTTAGAGTCGATAGGGCTTACGGCCTCAAGGCTTTAAGGGCCTTGGTTACGAGGACATAGGCTTCAGAATCGATGCACCTCCATGACCCCAAACCCTAAACCCGAACACCTCGACCCTTGTAACCAAACTCTAAGCCCTGATTCCGAAACTCTTCTCCCTAAACTCTGAGAACTCTCTGATAGATTCGCCCTTGGAGAGGAACGAAGCAGCTTCGCCACAAGCCCACTCTCCCCTCAAAAAAAAAACGCAGTCTTGCAGAGTCTGCTTGTGGTCTGGTAGACATCTGCAAAAAAAGGGCCCTGAACTGAGTGAGAGTTCTTCAAAGCTTTGACAGGGATCATAGAGATCCGATTTGCTTTCTGGGTATGCTATAGAACCCTTTGCTAAAGAACCCTTGTAGAGGAACCCTTAACTCATATCTCCTCAGAGGAACCCCTATAGATTCCTTTAAAGGAACCCTGAAAGGAACCCTTTCCTACTTGCCAAAGGCTTGATTTGTTGTTGGCCAAAGGTCGTGGGAGGCCCTTAGTCCGCCCCAGCTTGGCCTTCTCAGTCGCTGCCTCCACCTAAGGGTTGAGGGTTGAGGCAGCGTTTCGGGCTTAGGGCTTGGAGGGTTCAGGGTTTAGGGTTTAGGGTTTGGGGGTTCAGGGTTTAGGGTTTTAGGGATTGGTTTAGGGTTCTGGGGAAATGCATTCTGGAGCGTCCTGTGTTGGGGTCCAGGCTTTGAGCTCAAGGTGTTCATATGGTTACTCTGGGGCTCTATATCTATGTCTATATAATATCTAGATGCATACCTATACGTATTTATCTATCTATCTATTTATCTATTTCTCTTTTTATCTATCTACCTATCTATCTATCTATCTATCTATCTATATGTAGATCCCTATATCTATGCTCATATCTTCATCTATACCTGTATATGTTGTTTGCTGAGTCGGTTGTTTCATGGCCCTGGCGTAAGGGTGTCGCAGTATTTTGCACATGCGTTGAAGACCCTCTCCACCTGACTTACAGCTCGCATGGCACACAAAAGTCACTCCCTACAAGGGCCACAGCGTGTTACGCTCATCGCGAGTTGATGGTAGTCCCGACAGCCGACACTAGCTCCATCACAACATCACAACCGCAACAGCGCACATAGATGCCGATGCCTTCAGGGGCTGCGTTCTACATGGTCACTAGTGCGAGATTTGCTCTCTTCACTCTCACTGCGTCTCTTTTCTTCCTGAAGCTTCGCACTGCTGACAGTGTGGAAGGAATTTTTTAGGGGCCAGAGAAGCTTACTTGCTGTTCGGCTGGATTGGTTTCAAGAGCAGCTGAGAGTTTGAGACCGGTTCGGCCTTCTCACCTTCCCTGGCCCCCATGGCATAGAGCCCTCCCCACTACGGTTGATGATATAAATCCTGCATTACCCATAATAAGGAATATACCATAAGTCCCATAGTCTAGGGTCCTTAAAGGTAATGCTAATAAGGATTTCTATCATCAACCGTATGTCTCCCCAAAAAGGTCCCTGATCGTAGAGAGATCACCCTGCGAACCATGGCATCACAGACTTGGATCGGCCTTTCTGGCCAGTACCCATAGGCTCCCTTAGTAGTTCCTTTTTGGGGTTACCTTCTAGGATCCTAAATACAAACCACAAAAAAGAACTATAGGATTCTAAATATAAACCACAAAAAGGAACTATAGGATTCTAGAAATAAACCATAACAAGGAACTAAAGGATCCTAAATATAAGCCACAAAACAGGAGCTACTTTGGAGCCGATGTGTACTTCAAGCTTTCAATGGGTGCTCCCTCCGCGCACCAGGATCCTCCTACGTTCGACGCCTATCCCCCGCAAAGGGTGAAACATGAGGCTGAAGGCCCGGATTTCGTGGGTTCAGGGTTTAGGGTTTAGGGGAAAAATCCCGATTTCGTGGGTTTAGGGTTTAGGGTTTAGGGGAAAAATCACAACGAACACCTGCAAACCATTGTGGGGCGGAAGCCTTCGTGCACGGATGGGCTGACCCCGCAAATACTTCCAAATACTTCCAGCCCTCACTTCTCTGGCCACATCCCCTTTGCGCTACTGTAACGGGATGCTTCGCCCGAGCCACCCGAGCACACCCGAATGCACTATGATAATAAACCCCAACAGACACAGATTACAGCGGCCTTGCCATGCCAAACTACCTACCCTCATTCAACCCGCAGCCTCTTCCTCTGCACTCTGTCATTGTCTTGCTCTGCACGGACACACCGAAACCATTCAATGCTGACCAACACCAGGGGGTTCACCCTTCGCAAGACAAGAGACAACTGTACATTGGTGCCCTCATCCCCGTGTTAGGCCGCACACTGCTGACCGACCATCAATATAGCAACATGTACCACCACACGTAGTACGGCTGCTGGGGTGAGTGCACTCTGCTACGCGCCTTTCAGCACCAAGTCGGGTAAGTAGCGGATGCTCTAGATCATCAATACTGTGGGCCTTGCTCTCTTCCCTGTCACTGCGTCCCCGTTTCTTTTATTCAGAAACTGTGCAGACTCAAAATGGTCTCGGCCGCGTGGCGGTCCGCAGCTTCAGTGGTGCACAGGCGCAATGTGCGGCTGAAGCCCCAGCCACTATGGTGCGAGACCTGCACATCGTCGCACATCATTGCATAGCTTCGAACTTGACTTGCGTCGCGATTTGGTTGCATGCGGAGCTCTTTGATTCCAACCAGAAGCTTCAGCTCAGCAGTCCTGCCGGTGCACAGCAAGCAGTGAAGATCTCGCATTCCATCCTTCTCCCCTTCTCGCCACAGTAGCTCCGCCAAGAGGCCACCCAAGGTGGGCACTTCCTGCTGTGCGCGGAGCAGCTCGGGCTCTATGAGCTCAGCCTTGCCTGTGGCCGGCGTGGCCCTGTCCAGAAGACGAATCTTCTTCTTCGGGGTTTCGAGGACCGCGTCCTCGCTGTCGCCAGATTGCAAGTCCTGGCTTTGAGACATCGCTTGAAGAAAGCCTCACGTGCTCACAACTTGAGCCACATGGCTAGGACGGCTCGGATTTCGATGGTTTCAGGATCTATTGCTTCCTGCTTTGGGTTCCCCACATGAAACCGGAGACTCGATCGGCTTCGGCTTTCAGAAAGAATGGGCCTCGAGAGTTGAAGTCCAAGCTCCTGGCATCGAAGGGCATGCGCCCAAAACGGCACGAAACCTCAGAAGACTGCAGGGATGGCGAAGCGCAAAAAAGGTGAAGAAAGCGCGAGGTTTAATTCCAAGGGAAACCAGGCCTGGCAGGTGAGGGTGGGTAGTTCTCTAAATTAGGGTTCCATTAAGGGATCTATAAGGGTATCTATAGGGTTTCGACAAGGATAGTATATGGGTAGTTCTCTAAACTAGGGTCCTTTTTCGGGGGTCCTTAATATAATACGGCACCCTAAACAGGACCCTAACTTTGACAACCACCCATGCCCTTCTCTCGTAAGCCCGGAGCTCTTTGGCCATGTGCCAGCCGATGCCAGGGACGGGGAGAGCATCACCGGAAATGGCACGAGTTTAGGGTTTAGGGTTAAGGGCTTGGGGTTTATGGGAGTAGTGCTAGGGAACTTGGCTGAGGGTGAGGGGTGGTGACTATGGCTTGGTAGATTATGCTGGAATGGATCTCAAGAACCGAGAATCGTTGCTAAACCCTGGGACCTGAGACCTTAAACCCTAAACCCTAAAAGCCTAAACCCTAAACCTTAAACCCTAGGACCTCAAACCTTAAACCCTAAACCCCAACTCCTAGGCGGGATCGGGTCTGTGCTCTTCTGGCTTTTGACTTCAGCTGCTGGAAGCTCCATGTCGAAGCGGCGACCACGGCTGAAGGTCCAAAGGCCCCAGAAAGCAGGTTGGGGTCAGGTGGGTATGCGAGTGAATTGTTTAGGGATTAGGGTTCAGGGGATTAAATCATAGTAGAATATGCTGTATAAGATGATCTTCTGTTATGTCATACTGTAGTAGATTATGCTCTGTGTGTGTGTGTGTCAGGCTTCTGGTGGGAGTCGCAGAATGAACGGCGCAGCCACATCACAGCAACCAGAGAGCCAGTAAGTGCCCGTTTCAGGAGGCATATTCCTCTTATTCTAGGGGGGATCCTCTTAGGATAGTAGGAGCCTGCCTTGATGTAGGTGTCGGCACAAATGGAAATGGTATCCCCGTTTAGTCCCTATATCGTTGCCGAGCAATTTCCCCCCCAAAAGCCTATTTCTTACGATTAAAGTGTTCACAACTCCCCTTTTTTTTATATAAAAACAAAGAAAGAAGACTTAGCTGTCCTGGGCTCTCTGAAATCCAAAGCTTTTTCAAGAACCCCTCGGCCCTTTGCTCAGTGACCTTGTGGGTGAGACGACTTCTCTTTCTCGGCGGGGGCTTCTTCGCCCTTCCTTCGAGGGGCCCGCGAGTCCTTGGTCCTGAGCTTCCTGCAACAGCTCCTCGGGTACATACACTGACACGCGCACACACACACACATATGTATGTATATATATATACACACACATATATATATATATGTATGTATATATATATATTATGTTAATACATATACATATGAATCTGCGATCTTTCAGACTTCCATGAGTATGCACATATCGCCTGTGTATGTGTGCATGCATATATATATATATATGCGCGAGATATATACGCATCTGCTCCTGTGGCGGACTTTCAGGTTACGACGAAGTCCAACAGAACTATGATAGCTGGCGTTGTGCTTCGATATGGATCAACACTTGAATCCCGGTCTGCTACCCAAACCTGACATCAAGACTCCGATCTTCACTTGGGCATTAGGGTTTAGGGTTTAGGGCTTAGGGACCATGAGGACCTTACCAACCAGGAGGCTGGAGCAGTGCGGGACGGGCCTGTCAGACTTGGCGGTCCATGGCCCGAACTCGACACCCCTCCAACCTCCCGTTCCAAGGGGAAGCCAGGGAGGGGAGTTTCCTCCCCTCCCTCAAGCCCCCTTTTGAGCTTCCGAACGATGGAAACCTTTTTGAGAGTCCACGTCTTCTTTGGCTCCCCTTTGGACGATCCAGGCCGGGTCGAAACTTCTCGAAATCTTTGCGTCAGAGTCTGGCTCTACGCGCTGTTTAAGTCCTAGAAACTCTGAAAAAGGCAAGATCCTAATGACCCCATGATTTCATAGAGTTCCCCGAGTGTAGAATCCTTGAAAGACTGCATGCTGTTGCTCATCAAGACTAATTCTTAAGTAGCAGTATGTCGAAGTCGGAAAAGGGAGGGCTTTGGCATCCAACATTCTTAGGGACCTGAAGAATCAAAATGTGTTTTTTTTGGGGGTATACTATACTAGCAACTGGTAGGAAGGAGCCGCATGGAATATTTCAGGCTTCTACATTACTGTTCCAGTGCTGAGACTCTTCCGTGCATAACGCGCTCGGCACAACTGTGCTTGCTGCTGCCAGGGATCGTCCAATGACAACATGGAAAAACGACGCGATGAGTCTCCGTAAACATGAATGCGATGGATCGTCAGCAGCCGGATGCTCCTCAATACTCGACCTGAATGAAGCCTGAAACCGAAACCCTAAAGTTCCCTAAAGCTTAAACCTTAAACTCATCAAAGACTAAAACTCGGAGTCTTTTTTTTCGAGTTTTTAGGTGGAGCGTCCGACTGGTAAGAGCTTGTTCAGTGCCTTCTTCGATCACGTATGAGTAGTTATCTACGTTAGGGTCCCTTTTAGGGTCCTGTTGAAAAGGGTGCCGTACTGTTTGAGGGGACCTAAACAGGGACCCTAATTTAAAGAACTGATTACCCATACCCCAGTGTTAGAACGCGGTGAGAGCCCCGGCTACACATGCCAACTTCCCAATACAGACCTTGAGAGTTACGGTTTGGTAAAGACAAAGACGTGTCGCTCGAGGCACCCGTGCTCAAGATATCTGTCAGGTATGCCACGGCAGTCTATGAAGATGTGAAGCTAGAGCGATCATTGAATTACCTGTTCCGTAACAAAACTAACTGCACTGATAGTCTTGTCTAAGAGAACTCTCTCTTTGCGGGTACCATATCCAACAGAGCACGGAGTTATTGAAAACGGAAGTTTGAAAGAAAAGACAAGGGAAGGGGCCTCATCACACACTCCAAATCTCTGACTTGCGACACCAATCTTTAGGAAACAGCCCAAGTAGGATCTCGAGATCAGGGTTCGACTCTGAATAAGCTGCAGGCTTGCTGAACAGCGCCGGAGCGAATCCCTTCTGCCAGTCCTTGCATAGACAGAAGTTTTCTCGCGCAGATGAAGCTGGAGGACACTCTCAACTTCCGACATATCTAAACCTCGGTCCCAGCCATCATCTTCCAGAAACTCACTGTAAAACCCTGGCAGCATGCAACGCAGAAACCGTCAGGGCCCATGACGAGTCTAGTTCGAGAGCAGAGGCTGCGCATAAAGCACGATTCCTCGTAAACTTTCTGGTAAAGACAGCATAAGATGTTCATCTTGCAATCCTGACTGAACTAGCGGAACTCAGCAGGATCGTTTGCAACAGCTTCGCTCTCGCATAGCCTGACATGGTCACGCGAGTGGTGCAGGAGGTACGTGCCAAGCTCTACAGATCAAATGCTTTGGGGTAGTGCTATGGGCATCACAGACTCGAGACGTTGAACTGTGCAGGCAACACTCGTGTTTGTAAAGAGCTTGAGCTTGTAGATGCATGCAGGTCTGAGAACCTGCAGAAGGACTCTTGAACCTTCAAAGCGTGGCATTGAGGGCTGGCTTCATGGCCTAGAGTATGATGGTCGGCACGCACCGAAAGGAAGTGACCTCTCTTTCAGAGAAGGCAGTGCTGAGGGCTTGTAGACGTGCCATGCTTATATCAAGCAAGGGTGAGGATGTTTTTCGGTACGCAAACAGTAAGCTTTGCCCAAACACTGTCGGGCCAGGTTCTACGACCCTCAGTACCAAAAACAACCCTCTGTGTAAGCGCTCGGGCACTTGCGCATGAAAAGGCCGGCGGCCTCCTAATCAATGGACATGTATATAGTACCGTTGACACGCGGGGCTTGATGTAGGCCCTAAACCCTCCACCTTAAACCCCCTGTTGGACCACCGGAGACAGCGGAAAAAATGGTGGAGAGGAAGGCGTCCGGAAACTCACTGGCAAGTGCCTTGGCCCTCGGAACTATCCACTGTGGGTCCCAAGGCATGAGCAGGAGCCACGGCTCAGGAATCTTGAACTTAAATATAAGAGTTTTGAGTGCAGGGTTTAGGATGCGCGCCCATAGCTTTGGGAGTGTAGGATTTGGGGTCTAGGGTTTCCCGGAACATGGGGAGCTTGCTTGCAGAAGCGGGCCCGAAGTCGGGGTACTTATAACACGTCCCACAAACCCAAGGGTTTCGACCCACAGGGGAATAATTCGCATGGGTACAAAGTCACGGACATAAACGCATCTAGCTGTCAGATGTGCCAAGGCTCGACGATGTTGTGGGCTCCACGTCATGTCTGGGATGATGGGATGTTTGCACTCACTGGCAGGTCTTCTCACCCTTCTGCGGCAGACTCCTGAGGAGGGTTTAGGTATTGGGGGGCCTCGGAGCTTGGGGTTTAAGATTTCAGGGTCCGAAGGGTATGATCAGACGAGGGGCACGGCCGACTGTTAAATCCATCCACGTGGCTTTGCCACGTTTTTCTTGATCCTGGGCTCCAAAACAAGCTCTGCTGAGTCGGTGCAGGACCCGCTGCGTGCAGTCTCGTGCTACTCATGGACCCTTAGATGGTCAGGCTCCTAAGCACCCCTCTGAGCCTGGCACCTTTGCAGTAGGGCAATTGTAGTTTCTTCGCGGAAGCCATCACGGCGGGCCTGCGACAACACCAAACCCCATTCTGTGAAGAAGAGTTCTTCGTGCATCATCCAGCTCGGCAAGGTGCCATGCAAGTCACGACGATCTCTAATCTTCGCGAACCACGAATCGACTGGATGCAAACAGTCTTGGGTTGTGCA